CTGTGTTCCTGGGGGGGGAGGGGCCTCGGGCAGATGGGGCGGGGCCTCAGGCAGAAGGGGCGGGGTTGGGGGCAGCCAGCCCTCACAACCCCCTGGAACATGCCACACAGCACTCCGGCGGCAATTTAAAGGGCGTGGGGTTCTGGCTGCCACTTCTGCTGCATCAGCAGCCGGATTCTCAGGCCCTTTGGAATTGCCAGGCCCTGGGGCAATTACCTTCTTCGCCGCCCCTGCTGCCCTCATTGGTGGGCCTGACTGTAAAGGCCGGTGGCTGGAACAGCTGGACTGCTGTGGGGAAGGCTGGGAATGCACTAGACTCCAAGCACCAGCAGCATGTGTAGGGGGATGTGAAATGGACGATCAGGCTCAAACCGCGGTACATTAGGGAAATCTGTGTAGCCTGGCAAAAGGCCCCAAATCAGACCAGGCCGGAGGGACCTGGGCAGAGCTGTACCGGGAGCCCAGGGCTGGAAAGAAGGGAGGCTGTCAGGCAAGATAAAGGTTCATTGATAGAGCTGTTGGGCAGTGGGGAGCCCAGAGCTAGAAAAGCAAAGAACCTGCAGGTCAGGATGGTATTTGACAAAGGGCTTGATCGTGCAGCTGTCAGTCATGTGACTAATCCCAGCGGAAATCATTGGGCCAGATTCTAATCTCATTTACTTCACTATAAATCAGTGGAGTTACGCTGGATTTCCACCACCGTCGGAATGAGATGGGAGTCTTGCTCGCAGGAATTTGTGCTCCTGGAGTGAGGCTGCAGGATCAGATGGAGAACACAACCCACAAAAAATGAGTTGCCATTGCATAATTCACGTATTCAAAAGAGAGAGAGAGAGAGAGAGAGAGAAACGCCAGGGTGGGTGAGAAGAAGCTACAAATCCTGCAACCCTTCCAGGAGTAAATCCTTCCTTGGATGAGAAAGGATTACTTATGGGATTCATGGTTTCAGGATCAGGTCCTCAGAGGGACAAAACCAGCTCCTTTCCAAAGCCCCCCCATTCCTCCAAGGTACAGAGAATGAAAATTATACAAAATAAAACAATCAAAATCAAGTGTCCGTTGTTAGAGAGATAAACATTGACTCTGTGTCCCGATACTGCAATAGGAGAGACAGACAGATATGGGAGCACGGATGGAAAGCTAAACAGATAGACAGACACGTAATAATATGCAGAGCCTGATCTCAATCGTACCAGTGTAAATCCAAAATCACTGTGGATTAACACCACCCGAGGCCACTGAGATCTGGATCTGACTCATTCTAAAGTGGTTAACATATCCACTCCTAAATGATTAAGCTACACTCAGTCCTGGGGGAATTCTGCAATTGTTGCATTTGGAGCCATAATAAAATAGAAGACTGTCATGCTTTGGAGGCTCTTTGCAAAGCACCAGGTGTCACGGTGAATATGAAAGACTCTGTATTCAGACCAATTCTTTTCTACTTTATCCTAATTATTAAAATCTGTAGCAGGAGGATTAATGTGGATGAATTAAACATTGTGATAAGGTTTATTATTCTATTAATTTATTAGTGACGGCATGAATAGATGCTAACAGGTTTTAAGAAATGGCTTCCAAGTGCAGAAAACACCCCCAGGATTGTATAGTTTAAGTGTGTTTGTTTCTGCCTGTCTGTAATTGTCTGTCTAGCTCTATCTTTCAGACACAAACACACATTCACAAATACCTTCCAGAGATACACACCTACCCGTTAAACTCAAACACCCCTTGACTGGGGATGCAACAGTGTAGTCGATTAACCGATAAGCAAATGCTTTATCGGCTAATGCTATAGACTACACGCATAACTCCTTCTCTCCCTCCCCCGCCAGTAAAGTTTTTAGCAGGCTGGCCAGCAGCCCAGCTCACTCCTGGCTTGCGCCAAGTCCAGGACCTCCCCCCAAAACTTCTGTCGACAAAACCCTGTAGTCTAGACGTACCCCAGCTGAATCAAAGCCCTCAGTGCACATGGTGGAATATCAGCTGTTCCCTCCAGGCCAATGCCTCCTCCCCCCCACGCACTCAGCACTGCTCACATTTGAGCACACCACGCATGCTGCCAGGCCACCGATACTGCCACCTCCCCAGCACAGTCATTCCGGTACACAGATGCACTCTGCACCCTGAGAGCACTCCAACAGGGCGTGCCTTCCACACACACACACACACACACACACACACACACACACTCTCTCTCTCTCTCTCTCACCCTGAGAGCACTCCAACAGGGCGTGCCTTCCACACACACACACACACACACACACACACACACACACACACACTCTCTCTCTCTCTCTCTCTCTCTCTCCCTTCCGTCCTTACGGCAGTTCTTAAACCCCAGACCCTGCAGCGCTTTGAAACAGCCCCTGAGAGCCCTAAGGCCCAGTGCTAAAAATGGGGGTGCACCCCACCCCTGAATCCTGTCTACACTTCTGCTGCTCCTGATGGCAGACCCCATTGTTGCCGGTTCAGACACAGCCTACGGGACAGCTTTGGATCTCATTTGCCCTGGTGTAAATCGGGAGTGACTCCAGTTATTCACACTGGCATCCATGAGCTCCAAATCGGGTCCTAGCGCAGCAGCAGCTGTGGTTAGAGAACTCTCCATTGCAGCCTGGCTAGGTGCCCAGTGCCTCTATGGTCTGGGGGCTTCTGACCCTGATCCAATGCTGATCCAGGGCAGAACTGAGGAGGGAGGGGAGGCTGGTAGGGACTAGCAGAGGGTTCATGCCGCTGCAGGCTGGGGCGGGGCAGAGCTGCGAGCGGGTGAATGACTTGAGCAGCTGGTGGGGGCTGGGAGCACACGCGCGGAGCCTTGTGGGCAAACCGCTGCCTTGGCATAAGTGAGTGAGGCTGGGAACACAAAGCACCCTCTGATCTGGGCGGTGGTAATGCAGGCAAAGGAAAGCATTGCCTTCCCAAAATTGCCTACACTGCCCAGCCACCCGGGCGGGGCTGGAGCCACGCCGTGTGGCAGCTTGGATCCTCAGCAGCCGGTGAAGGCTAGGGCTGTGCCATGTGGCCGCCCATCTCCCCAGTAGCCAGGGAAGGTTGGGCATGCACCGCACTGCAGCCCTGGCCCTCTGCTGGGGCTGGGCGGGGCTTGGTTGGGGGTGGGGGGAAAGGTTGTGAAGGGGCACGGTCTCGGGAAGGGGTGTGGCTTTGGGCAGAAGGGGCGGGGCTTTGGGCAGAAGGGGCGGGGCTTCATCTGCTTTCCCCCAGCTGAGCCTTCCTCCGCCACTCATGTCCTCTGGGCTCTTGGTTTATCTGGCCGGCCCTCCCGCTCTTGGGACAGGTGCTGTTTCGGAGACAGACTCATCCCCCTTGATGGGGATCTCCTTGAGACTCAGTCTTTCTATTAGATTCCCCTTTCTGGGGTCTCCCCTTCACTGGTCATACAGGAGGGAGCCATGACAAGTCTCTGCTCCCCAGAACGGACTCCTATCTAGCCTCTGGGAGGGGCTCCAGACCCACCAACGCCTACAATGATCAACCCCCACCTCTTTTGATGCCCATCCCCCCCTCCTTCCTCCTGCCCAAACACATGGAGGGAAGGGTCATTTCCTCCTCTGAGAGCAGCTGTTTCCTCCTATCTCCAAGACTACATTTCCCAGCAAGCTCCCCAGTTCCCGTGAGCCTTGTGACTGGAATCCCATTTGGGAGGAGTCACAGGGAAGCCAGACGTATCTGTGACTCCAGCCCCTGCAGCCCATGTACCAGGCAGGATTGCTGAGGGTGAAATGAGATCCGGAAGCTCTGGGCAAAGGTTTGCTGAGCAGGGAAGTCTGGAGCAACAAGTCGAAGGTGCAGAACGGGAGGCGATTCCGCCATCGAATAAGCGGCAGGAAGAAGAGAATGGGATTGTACTCACATCGATGCCTGGCTTCCCCACGGGCCCATCTGGACCTGGAACGCCTGGTTCCCCTTTGGAGCCCTTTAAAATAGGAGTTGGGAAAAATGAAGACCATAAGAATGGCCGTACTGGGTCAGAACAAAGCATCCTGTCTTCTGACAATGGACAATGCCACATGCCCCAGAGGAAGTGAACAGAACAGGGAATCATCATGTGATCCACCCCCTCTCGCCCATTCCCAGCCTCTGACAAACAGGCTAGGGACACCATCTCTTCCCATCCTGGCTAATAGTCATTGATGGACCTAACCTCTGTGAATTTATCTAGTTCTTTTTTGAACCTTGTTTAATTCCTGGCCTTCACAACATCCTCTGGCAAGGAGTTCCACAGATTGTCTGTGCATTGCATAAAGAAACACTTCCTCTTGTTTGTTTTAAACCTCCTACTTATTAATTTTATTGGGTAACCCCTAATTCTAGTGTTATGGGAAGGAGTAAATAACTGTTCTTTGTTCACTTTGTCTGCACTAGTCATGATTTTATAAACCTTTAGCATATCCCCCCCTTAGTCACCTTTTTTCTAAGTTAAAAAGTCCCAGTATTATTAATCCTCATATGGCAGCCATTCCAAACAACTAATCATTTTTGTAGCCCTTTTCTGTACTATTTCCAATGCCAAGATCTCTTATTTGAATGAGGCAACCACATGTGTACACAGTATTGAAGAGGTGGGTGTACCATGCATTTATACAGAGGCAGTAATATATTCTCTGTCTTATTCTCTATCCCTTTCTTAGTGATTCCTAACACTCTGTTTGCTTTTTTGACCGCTGCTGCCCATTGAGTGGATGTTATCAGAGAACTATCCACAATGACTCCAAGATCTTTCCAAGTGGTAATAGCTAATTTAGTCCCCATCATTTTAACATGTCCTGAAAAGGTGTGGAAACCAAAGCATGTCGGACAGCTGGTCGCACACTCACCGGGGTCCCAGCAGCGCCTGGCGGGCCTTTGTCACCCTAGGGAAAAAGAGATGGTTATAAAAACGTAACAGTCTGGGCTTCCACAGAGCCTTCCATTCCTGAGTGCCAGATAAACTGGTCCCCAAGATCGCTCTCAGGGGCTGTAAAACTCATCCAGGTGCCATCGCTGAGAACCACCAGACTGGACGTGGATCTACCAGCGGGCAGATTTTGACCCAGGCGGGTGTCAAGTCTCCAAACAGCTTCCTGTCCCCATCTGGGCTGCCGGGCAGCTTCTTTGGTGTCAAATTCAACCAGGATCCAATGGAACACGGATTCAAAACCTGAAGGAGCAGGAGCAGTGAACCCACAGGGAGGGGACAGCAGCGTTGGATTATGGTCTTCATAGGCCCTAGTGGCTCTCTCATAATCGTAGGCCTTTAAATTAGGTGATATAGGGGAGAAATGCCCTATCTCCGATATGCCTGATATTTAATTGTATGTTATACCCGTAAGTTGTTGTGTGGCTAAAGATAGCAAATTATTAAGTCTGATTTAGCAGTTTTCTTTTCTTATTTTTGAGTCAACTATGAATTATTTTAGGCTCTAAACTTTCCGTAAGCCTTAAACTTTTCCATAGGCCCTAGGCACTGCGCCTCTTGTGCCTAATGGATAATCTGGCCCTGGGGGACAGGACTGAAGGGCAGAGTGAGCAGGAGAGGTTGGAGCAGCAGAGGCCACAGGTCAGAACGGGAGAGCAACTAGGGTTGCCAGGTGTCCCGTATTGAACCGGACACTTTGGTATTTTCTCCTCCTGTCCAGTAAAAAAAAATAAAAATCAGAAAATGCCAGACATCTAAAATGCCCGGTACTTTCTGATTTTTTCCTGGCCAGGAGGTGAAAATCTGGGGCTGTCCAGCTCAATATGGAGGCAGCCTTGCAACCCTAGTGCTTATCGGGTTCCGCAGGGGAGCTGTACAACCTGGTGCAGGGAGGCAAGATGGTGGGCAGCCACTGGCAGCCAATTAGAGCCAAAAAGCCTCACCACACGGTTTTTAAAGGAGCCACAGTGGTTTTGGGGTGGGGTGTTTTGTTTTTTTGCTCAAGAAACTTTTTCCTGGCGTGTTGTTTTTGTTGTTTGGTATTTTTTCTGAAACTATCTGGCAACTTTAAGAGCAACTCCCAAATGCTGCCACCAGAGAGAGGGACTAAGCAGGCTGGATGCAAGCTGAGCGGGGTGGCGCGTTTCCCGGCTCCAGCACGGGCCCATTGCTGTAAGGCAGGTTTGTTTCCACGGTTCCACTGTGACACGGCTCTAACATCCCTCTTCTGTGCAGCCAGGGGGCTGCACCCACAAGTCTGTTTTTGGAGAGGGACATCCTGAAAAATATCTTAAATTTCAGAGGGGTGCCACACCGTGGCCTAGTTTGGGGGCTGCTGGCTTGAAAGGATTGCTCCGCCTCTCCCTGAGGGGCAGCTACCTCTGGGACGGGACGTGGCAGCTGACGACCACTAACATGTTGCACCAGCTTAGGACGGGGGGAGAAGAACGCCCCCGTCAGTTAAAAGCAGGGGGAGGGATTGAGGGGGAGGCAGAATGACATGAGTCGGAAGGTGGCCAGTCTGACGGGGCGGCAAAGTGTCTCTCACAACCCAGACTTCACTCACAAGGTCATCCCAGGCCCGGCGTGTCATACACTAGGACACCGGGGCGAACGCTGATTTGACCTGGGCTGGCACAGTTTAAGGGGGCTGCCAGCATTGAAATTCAGCGTGGTGTAGTACTTCGATTGTGCCTTGAGGGGGGCAACAACAGGCCCCAGGCCAGCCCCTCTCTGAAGCCGCCCCCTCATGCATGGCATCAGGGTCTGATAGTCATGCAGGGGTGCGGATGCCAATAAAGAGGCATCGTCGGCCTTCACCAGCGCTACATGGTCACTTAGCTGCATGCAAAGGATGTCGCCATGTCAACCACGTCGCCATGGAGACGCCGCTCACTCCCAAACCAGGTGTGCTCGGCCTGCATCCCTGCCCGGGCTAATGCGGGCCAAATGCTCCACTGGACTTTGGAAGAGCGACAGCTGGTCAAAAGCCACTGCTCTCCGCCCCCTCCCCAACCACGCCCCCGGGTCCACTGTTGCATGCCATGTATAAATAGCACCAAAATCCCACACTGAGCACGGTGCGGTTCTCCTAAGGGGCTGGGCCCAGACAACCAGCCAGTTCTTGTGTACTTATAGGCCTGGTCTAAATCCAGACACCCTCCTGAGCCTCGGGGTGGGGGAGGAAGGTGTGAGTGAGTGCTCTGTAGGCCTTTCAGAAATCTCACCACCACATCTCCAGCGAGCCGGCAATCACCCCCTAGCTCTGAATGCCCCAATCCCCACTCCTCCCCCTTCAAACCCAGCGGTACCCTTTCTGTCTCCCCCAACGGCATCTTCGACCAGTCTCCCTGCCGGAGCCGGGTTTAGAACCTTTCCCGCTGCTCCTTCTTCCACCTTTAGCCTCCGCTCTGCACCTCTCCTCTTTGGGCCCCAGCCCACCAAACCCTCCTTTTACAATCGCCGGGAGCTGCCTGAGTGAGGGAGCCTCAGGATCGGGCCCTTTTGCTTGGTGCTTGATGGTTGATTTTCAGTTATTCTCAGAGACTTTTGATTCCTTTCCGGCTCCGCCCGGCGTGATTTGGCCAGGGCTGCAGGGAGTGGGGAAGTGGGCTTTGCAAATAGTTATTTTCATTATTGACCATTTTTGAGCTATTTTCAGAGGTTTTTCAGAGCCTAAAGGCTCAGATAATCCCCCACTAGGATTGGGACAAACACTAAACTCCCCTTGATTTCGAGATTTGGAAAAATCTCACCTTCGGGCATCTAATTTCCCTTGAAAATCTGGCCCCTGAAAACAAGTCTTCCCTGCCTGGCTATCGATTTGTATCCCCGAAAAAAAAATGGCTTTGCAAATCCATCCGCTAGGGACTTCGAAAGCAGCTCCTGTCCAGGAGTGAAAGAAACTTCACATTTCTGACAGGTCCTGTCCTATTACAATCCGGCTCCCTGCCAGTTCTTTAAATAGCTCCCTGCTGGCTTTTGCTGCAGCTCAGTCAGCTCTTGCGGATGCTTCTTTTCTCCTCTGCTTCCTTCACCAGGCTACTCTGAAATGGACAAGGAGGCCCTGTGCCCGTGCTGAACCCAAGCATCTCTTTATAGGCACAATGGTGGATGAGGGATGTGAATGGTTTCCCTGTTAACTGGTAAGCAGCACCCTTACCAGGTGATGCTTACCAGTTACGGTTGACCCGTGGGGGCTGGAGTAGACCCCATCCGTGGCAGGCCCAGTGCGGGTGCACTGTGGGCAGGGGTACTTCAGCCATCCCTCCCTCCCCGTCTGCTCCCCATTTAGTCTGTTAACTTGTTAAAGTTAACATTTAACTCGCTAACTAATTAAACAGGATTTTACATAGTTCTGGTGGACGCTCTTATTTGTATTTGTATTGCGGTAGAACATTGAAGTCCTGATTAAAACCAGGGTCCTGTTGCACAGCTCACAGCACAAACCCATAGACAGAGACGGTCGGGTGCCGGTGAGGCTGCGAGAGCCGGCAGTGAGACGGTTAAAACCATCACTGTCCCAGTTTCTGCCCTGCTCCAACTTGCCCTACATTGTTGGAGTGACGTGATTTAGTCCTTGGCATTTAAGAGCATCTGTGTCTTTTATTCCACCCACTAGGCAAAGCAGCAGCTCCCTGCTAGTTGCTAAGATCCATAAATGTGACGGTCACATTTCACCAAGTTAATTTCAGGAGGAAGCTCGGTAATTTCGTGAACAGAATTGCATGCCTGGGAGCGGGAGAGGGGAGGCTGTGATGGCAGAGGGCTGGGTGAGCCAGGGGGTCCCATCTACTCTTTTGTTCCCTATTATCCTCCAACCTCCTGCGTAACAAGCCAGAAAACTTCACCCAGTGACTTCTGCAGCCAGCCCAGTGGCATGACGTTGGCTGGCTCCCCAGAGGCTTGCAGGCCAAGCCCGATTCTGCTGCGAGGAGGAGTTTTATCCTTGATCTGAACTGGAGCCAAATGGGGGCTTTTAATTAGAACTTGGGGGAGGGGGGCTTTTATAGCAGCCCTGTCACTCAGCACCCAGACTGTGCACACTTCCTCCCTCCGCTGGCCACAGCTGGGACGTGCAACTAGGTATCGGGACACAAAGCCCCTCTTTGTATCTCCCTTCCCCCTCCTCCTTCCCCCCATGGCTTGCTCAGGCTCCTGAGTTGTGTACTCACATCGATGCCGTCGGATCCTGGCACTCCTGGCGGACCTGGGGGCCCTCGGGGCCCGGGCTCTCCTGGAGGACCTTGCTGAGGGAAAGGAAAGAGAAGCACACGTTCCCGGTCAGGAGACTGCACCAAGCAGAGAGCTCACAGCCCTGCTAGCCCAGGGAGACGTCTGGGCGCGGAGAGACCGGCGGGACTCTCAGAGTGGCAGGGAGCCCTGGGTATGAGGCTACAACCATCTGCCATCCGATCACGTCCGGACCATGAGGACCCCTTCCCCAAGGAGCTGGGAGGAGGTGACACACAGTAGGCAAATAGCAAACAGCTCCAGGCTTGGGGAGTACCAGCTGCTTCCCCCTTGCAATGCAGCCCAGCCAGGAACAATTTTGTCCTGACTTGCGAAGGAAGCAGGCATGAAGCTTCTCCCACCGCATAGATGGGGTTAATACAGGAATGAGTGGAACAGGCCTGCGAACACGTCTCCCCTCTAAGCAGGCTGTTCCCCACTTCTGCTCCTTGTTCTCGCACACCCCAACCGGGGCTGAAGTTTCATCCTGTCTACACTGGGCCTAACTCTGATCTCAGACATGCTGGAGGAAATCAGTAGCTCTCTGGAAGCCAGAGGAATTACAGCCCTGGAGTGCAAGACTAGACTCTGCTCCCACCCAGCCATCCCCCCTCCAAAAGGCAGCCCCAGCCTGAAGGATGCACTTTAAAGCAGCCTCCGTGTGTGCAGCTCACTTAGCTGATCCGGATTTAAAGACTGAGGCTGAAATAGCCTTAAATGCCCCAGTGACAATAATGTTGAGTGTCCAAATCCCTTAGGCAATTTTGCAAATCTTAGCCTTAAACTTTGCTAGGGGACTTAACCGTGCCAGTCCCTTGGCCACATGCGCACAACAGGTCCCGGGGTACCTCTGCGCTGGGGCAACATGCTATTCAGCCCATGGTAAGAATCTGGTTCTTTGCAGAAGCACCCTAAGCTGGTAGGAGTTCCACAGAAAAATCCCTTACTCCTCTTTTGGAAAGAGTCTGAGCCCAGGGCTACACTAGGATGTTATTTCAAAATAACCCCCCCTTCTTTCAAAATAATAAACAGAGCATCCACACTACCAAGTCTGTTATTTCGAAATAATGGGCTGGTTATTTCGACATTTGTCCTTCTGCTTTCCTCGGGGAAGAAGCTTATTTTGAAATAGTTACTTTGGGAGTCATCATTTCCACTGCAGTTATTTCGAAATCATTTCCTAGTGTAGACATGCCCCTCCTGTGGGGGTGGAATTCAGGGATTCTGGGAAAGAAAAATCAGATGGGCTGGCTGCATCGGACACGGCCAGCGAGACAGCCTGGAGCTTTGTTCTTCGCCCCTCAATGCTTTACTTATTCTGAAGGGAAGAGGCTATTTGGTTCTGCGCGTGCGGTAGAGAGCAAAAGAAATAAGTGCAGCCTTGCGCCGTATAAATAACTAGCAGCCATCCAGCAGGAGAAGGCCCGGTTTCCTGGACGTTCCCGATGAATAGGCACCTTTGTCCTGCACAGACGATTTGCCAAATGCTTCTTTGTTAGAAGGCTTCCCAAGCCTAGGTGCTCTAGTCGACTCGAGCTGGCCCCTTGCAGTGGACTCAGCTGAGTCCCAGGCGTCTCCTGCGAGCCACTAAACAGCCCGCGCCAGGCTCTTCAGGGCAAGCTGCCGTGCGCTCCAGCTCCCTGGCAAGGCAGGGCTTCCTTCAGAGCCTCCTAGCTCTGTGCTTTCCCGTCTTCTCGCCCACTCGCTGCTTGGAAAGTTACACTCCTGCTCACCAATACTGATTTCCTTTTCGGTTGGTTCGCTGGTTCCCAGGAAAAAGCTATTCTAGGGGGTCAGAGCTTAGAACACTCGAGGAGCCAAGGAGTATTTCCTTCTATTAATAAACTATCCTCCCATTGGGGCCAGCTTATCTCTGGCTCCTAAAGACACTTCCAAGGACCCTTTTCCTTCTAAGATGCATGATGATGCCAAAAATTGTCCAGGCGGAAGAGGGGAGAATATCCCCAGCCTGGCTCCATCCCTGCTAGAGTTTTCGCCCCATGATCCCTCTTCACAACTAGCCAGGGACCTACAAGGCCTGCTGCCCCTCTGCAAACCCTTCCCTTCAAAGCCTGCCTCCTCACTGCTCTAAAGAAGGCAGCCCTCCTCCCAGAGTGCAGCTGACACCAGGCAGCCTGGGTTCGGCCGGCGCTCCTTTGCAGAAGGGTTCCACCCATGCCGGACCATTCAAGCACATCCCCGAGGGCACAAGAGGCAAAAGACACTGACAGTGAACGAAAGAAGCTTGTGGGTCCGAAAATCTCCAAAAGAACCGCGACACCCAGGTGCCAACACAGGCGCTCCCTTTCCCCAGATCCCCCCCTGTCTCCCGACAGAGAGAAAGGTGGTTTCTAGTATTTAGAGGTTATTTCAGGGCATGGGGGCTCTGGATTCCCCCTGGGGAGTCTGCTGGATTTTCCCTGCTGGAATGGGAAACTCTGAAAGCATATTAAAAACCAAGCAGGGACAAAGAATCAGGAAGCTACTCAGCATGGCAAGCGGCTTGTCATACAGCGCAACATTTTAAAAAGGGGGGCAGACAGGGGACCTTCCCAGCCCCCGACCGCAATCCTGATACATCCCATACAGTAGCATACAAAGGAGAACACTTACAAGCTGAGCCAGACACAGGCAGATGGCTTGGAGGAGAAGGCAGAGTTGTAGGCTGCGGAAGGAGTTAGCCATGGTGAGGGCTTCTGCCTAGCTCAGAGGCAGAGAGGTTTCCCCTTTTCCCCTCTGCTAGATGAAATTCCAGGTGTAGCCAGCCAGCCCTCAACTGCAAAAGCCTCCAAATCCAGCCACTGGATGGACTTTTGCAATAGCTGGAGGAGGAGAGAAGGTGGGGGCAGCCTCATTAATATGGAGCAGCTTGGTAGGTGAGGGCAGAGGGATTGGCCAGGAGACCTCTGCACGCCTTCCTCTGTCACATGAAACCAAGGGAATTAGTTACATACGGTTCACAGCTCAGGTGAAGTTTTTCCAGGCGGGGCAGGCCAGGAGGAAGAGTCTGGCCAGAGAGCCTGTGCTTGTGAATTGAAGGGGGGTCACTGAGGCTACGTCTACACAGCAGCGTTATTCCGAAACAACATAGTCCACGTCTAAACTACAAGCAGTTATTTCAACACCATGTCCAAATAATGTCGAGCCGGAGGACTTTTTACTCCCATTCCTGTAACCTTCATGGTACGAGGAGTAAGGGAAGACGGAAGGAGAATGCTCTTTCTCGGACTTCCTGCTGCGCAGACCGCACCAAACACCGAAATAAGCTATTTCGACTTCAGCTACGCAATTGACGTAGCTCAAACTGCGAAGCTTATTTCAGCGTTAGCCTTGCTGCAGAGTGTTTCTTAACTAGTGGTACAAGTACCTTTGGGGTACTCAAGAGACATCTGGGGAGGTACGTCAACACAACTGAAATTTGGAGAAAACTGAATTTTTGTTTTAAATTTTACCGCGCTTGATTATTTTTGTACTTTTTACACCCAAAAATTTCATCACCCACCCGGCTATGATTAAGTTGTTTAAACAATGTTGCAATGGGAGAAAAAAATGTTGTGTGTCTAAAAACTGTAGGTACTGGGGGTACTTACAATTTTTTTTAAAGGGGGTACTTGATAAAAAAAAGGTTGAGAAACACTTGTGTAGACTACCCTGCCAGGGCTGTGAAGGAAGAACACAATAAAGGCAGAATGTTCGCTGCTAAGACTGCTGGGTAGGAGAGTGTTTGTGTAGTGTCACGCTGACAGATGCATGCTAAGCAAGCTGGGCCCTGTTTAGCATTTGAAGAGGAGACCTGTAAGAAGCATGTGAGCGTTGGACTAGTGACTCAGTAGGGGAAGTTTGTCTCTCTAAGTGCTGGTCTCAATGCTGGGGAGCTAGAAGCAGCCCCCCACCCCTTTAAAGCAAGGAGGGTGCCTGGGGCTCTGTGTCTTAAGGGCTGCCTGGCCGCTTGCTCGCAGCCCTGGCAGGGAGCCACGCGGCACAGCTGCTGCCAGTTCACTGCCTCAGGTCTTGCAGACTCTTCTGCCAGTCCTGTAGGGTTGCCAATTCTCTTGGGCACCGCAGCCTGTGTTTATACTGGTGGTGCACATCTGCACATAACAAAATGTATTCTGAATGGAAACAATTATTTACGTATTCTCGCACTATAAGAACTAGGGGTCCTCAAATGAAATGAATAGGCAGCAGGTTTAAAACAAACAAATGGAAGTTTTTCTCCACTCAGCACACATTCAACCTGTGGAACTCCTTGCCACAGGATGCTCACGGGCCACCCCTGGGTGAAGACTAAGACTTTAACAGGGTTGAAAAAAGAGCCAGATAGATTCATGGAGGTTAGGTCCATTAATGGCTATTAGTCAGGATGGTAGGAATGGTGTGTTACTTACACTATTATAAGGGAACAAGTTACTTACACTATTAGTTTGTAGTCAGTTTCACTCACCTGCTAGTATAGCTACAATGCTTGGGTTGTAAACACTGCAGGGAAGGGGTTTCATTCACACAAATAGAAAGGCTGTGTACTTTGGATTTTTAAGGGGCATTTCTGGACTTTAGTCTTATGTAGATCTTTTCACAACACCAAAAACTGAGGCCTAAAGCTCATCATGTAGTTATGATTTTTATTGACTTTGTGCAAAACAAACAGAATCCCATAGATATTACTATGGACATGTAAGTGTTTGGGATTGGAGTGTTACTTTAGGAAGTGCCATGTAATTTAAAATGTCTCATAGGCTATTGCATGCTGCTTAATTCTCCCCGCCCCCTCCCTAACCCCAACACTACTGCAGAGTGGATCACAACTTTTGTACATAGTGTGGTTGCTTAATTACTCCACTTAGCACCTAAATAGGAGACCGCTTGGAATTTGGAAAGTGTCTTTATAATACTGCACACATGTCCTTGTTAAAAAGCCTCATCTAAGTCTTCTCTCTAGTTATTTTTACCTTGCGCTTAAACTAGGACATTTTTTTAATTTGATCTCCCTTGAGTTCTATCAGCAAATTGAATTGGTGGCAAAGCTGCAGAGAGTTGGACCTGATATTCTGCTTGTTTTCTTATTTTCTAGCTTGAGGGGTATTTATCTTCCTTCCCTGCAGGCACATGCATAGCCCTTCCCAATGTCATTAAAGGCACTTACATGTCCAGATGTATATTGCTAAAATTTGTGTATGCAGTGGCCAGCCAATCTGTTGAACCTGATGTAGCCATTATGTCCCACATAGGTATGAATTTATGCTACAATTAGAGAGATTCAGTTGTATGTTAATTAACTGCCATGCTTCCTGGAAATTAAAAACTGTTTGTCCTTCCCCTTACAACCATAGGCACATTATCTACAATGGAGCAGGACCCTGGGACATGGAAAGTCAGTGTTGGAAGGCTGCACACAGGTGGGAAGGTATTTCCACTGGGTGGCAGGAACATTTTTTTATGGTGGGGATGTTGAAAGTCACTGACCAAACTGTAAATCTTGTATATAATGGAAACCTCTTCAAGTGGGGGGAGAGAGCAGAGGCAGCTGCATCCTCCACATCCCTGATTCCAGTACCTATGTTTGGTGGGTACCTTTAGAGGAGAGACACTGCCAACGCGTTTAAGGTGAAGTCCTGCCTGCGCTGAAGGTGATTTGGGTTTGTGGTAATATCTCCTCCAAGAGGCTGCATAAAGTCCTGTAGCTGCTCCTGCTGCTCCCTTCCACCCACCCTTCCGGCCTGCTTATGTCCCCTCTCCTGCCCCTTTATAGCCTCCCGCCATCTCCTCCTGCTATCTTCTCTTCATCCCCCTCTCTGCTCCTCCACTGCCTCCCACCCATCCCTCTGCAATCTCTGCCCGCCCTTCGCTCCTCTGCTGCTGTCCTCTCTCTCTCCCTCCCTCCTTCCCTCCCCTGCTGACTACCGTGCCTGGGGCTACACATTGGCAGCTCCGTCAAGCCAATTTCTAACAAGTTGAGAGAGCCAATCTTGAGCCAGCTAGCTGTTTCTCGGGTCTGTTTTCCTGTAAGCTTCAGCAGGGCCTGCAGCCCGTGCCCTTTAAGGACCAGCAGTGAGACCTTGGCCTTATGGAAGTTAATGGTGAACGTCATGTTGACTTGAATAGGGCTAGGATTTCATCCCAGAAAGATGGGTTGCAAGTACCTGCCTCTTGCTTTATTCTCAGTAGTATATTTCCTAAGGGAGAGCAAAAGGTGGGGCTAGGATCATTCACTTTTCCTTATGCCCTGTGTTCCTCTTCTGTGTCTGTCATCCTGTTACACAAGCATAAGGTTGCTGTAGGCTGTCAAACTTGTCATTCAGAATAGGACTTTAAAGGCATCATCCCCAATAAGCATAGAAGTGCAGTCATGCTCTTTAGTACTTTTCGAGCTTCGAGACAATTGAGCTGTGCTTAAGGGTGGAGTTTTCGTTTACTGTACAGCGGGGTTGCACAACATGCCTTAATTAAACTGATCTGAACATTGGCCATGGGTTGTCTGAAAGAATTAGCATTTACTCTGTCCTGTTCACCCTTCCTGGCAGCTTAATCCTTAAGGCCACAACTTCAATAGGGACAAGAGACCTCAGCAGAAGTCTGTGTTTTCCTCCCCCTTCCACATGATACAATTGGAAATAATCATGGAGGATTATTAATAAACATGGAGGTTTTTAAATAAAGTTTTGGCACAAATGGATCACGTAACTAAGAATGATTTAAACAAGCATGTGAGGAAAGTACCTTTGGATTTTGTTCTGTGTAGATTTGAAAGGATGCTAGAAAGAATTAAAATTTGTAGGGGCCTCTTCAAGGGACAGTCTTGAGAATGTTAAGTCTAACAAAGTATAACATTTCATACAAATAGCTTAATATAGTTTCTAATTTCTGTTAAAAGTTAGTTCCCCTTGCAGTGTTTGCAGCCATAGGAGAAATTCAGAGGCGGCCCAGCAGAATAGCAGAGCTAGGGCTTTCTGTTTCGTTTCTATTCGGGGTGCCCGTTGGCACGTGCCTTGGTGCACATCACATTTATTCCGCACATGGGTGTGTGTGTGGCCCATGCTGGCAAAGGATGTGGCTCTCTTAGGCAGGCTTCCTTTTCTCCTTCTGGGTGACCGTAATGGGATAACATCTGATGCAGTGATCTGTGCTGCAGTCTTAGTCAGAAATGGCATTCGTGTGTCTGTGGCTGCTTCACATTCGGGAAGGGACCTGAATGGGCACACACTGGTTGTGCAAATGATCCCTGACTCAGTAGAGGGGGAGGACAGGGTTGAAGAGTCACTAGCATATTGTTGGCCCCGTAGAAAGAGCATCTATCTAGGGAGAGCTAAATGCGGTGATTATATAACCAGGCCAGTCAGTCAACTTTAGAACCTAGTATTCTGCAGCATGTATATTTATAAATGCTGTAGGTTGATAGATAAAGAGGAACGAACTCATTCGTATGCTGACGTACTAGTCGTTGTGAAGGCAGGGTTGTTAAAAAAAACGTTCTGCATCAGAACTCGATCCAGGAGGCGTGTGGAGGAAATTCACTTTTGGAATGTGTCTAATTAGTTGTGAGTAGTTCAGAAAGGCCTTCTCTTGGTGGAGTCCCCTTCACATGGGAAAACGAAGTTTCCATGGTAGTACCACACATCTTCCTGGACCCGGGAGGTGTGATTTATCTGTGCTGGATGATACTCATTATCACCTGACATGCTTTCTGATAACACAGATGTTCAACAGAATGAGTCAAATCTAAAGTGCTAACTTTATTTGCACTCCATGCTATTTTGGAGTACACATCAGTGCTAAGTCAGGCTTCCAACTGTTACCTACCTTACTCTTAATAACGAAAGCTTTCAAGATT